GATTTACTGTTATTGAGCATGTGATTAAGACATTGCTTTGATATTGACACTAAATAACTAAACATCATGTATATACTGTACAATTTTATGATAGTAATTTCTATATTGTTAGAGAATTTTTAAAAGTTTTCATAGATATTTTTGCTTTGCTGATTTATATATATTTTTTCCTATTTGGAAAATATTGCTATAACATTTGGTTTAAGAACGATATTTTATAGCTTTACTATTTTGACATTCATACTGTACTTATTTATAAGTTTTACTATAACAATATGTGTTTTACTCTTTGTTCACACTCTCATGATCACATTGATTATTACTAATACGATTTGAATTATTGCATGCATATTATTTATTTTTCATGCTTTGAGTTTAAAAGTAAAAGTTCTAATGACCTATTAGACTTTTTAAGCACAATATATGTGATGTAATAATTTTAGATCCGAAAAGAGGATAAGGTGTGTAAGGCTAATCAGACATAGGATTCTATAAGTTTTACTATCATTTTATCTTTTAGTTATGCTTTTGTGAGAAGGAGTGAGCAGACATTATGTTATATTTCTATGACTCCTAGTATTGTATATGATTTTTTTGGCATAATAAAGTCAGATGTATATTGGTCTTTTGATCCCAAAAAAAAAAAAATTGCTAGTATTTTATTATTAAAAAATTTAGATAGGTTAAGTTTTTATTATTAAAAATTAAAATATAAAAATTCTCTCAAATTTAAAGTGGGCGAGTGTGCCTAATTTGAAATTATTTCTATTCAATAATTTTTTAGTAATTATTTTATTTATAGTATTGCTTTTAAAAATTGATCCGAAATTATTTTACCTCTCTCTCGTACAACTTTTGGGCTATAATATATGGACGTGGGCCCCCATGTAGTAGTTGGACAATATTGAGTCAATTACCCACCACGGGTTGTCTTGGTGGTGAAGAGCTGGCTGGCCATAGGCCAGGTCCCGAGTTCGAATCCCATGGCAATTCGTGCAAAGCCTTAAGAGTTGGCCCGGATGAGTATGGGATGGGTTGTCCGCTAGGTCGACCGGGGAGATTAGTGGCCGAAGGCTGATACTCCCTGTCCCAAAAAAAA